ACATTTGTGCAGATCATTTTCTACGAGGACAAGAACTTCCTCGTACGAGTGCGACAGCGACTGTTCGGACTTCCATGCCTACCTGAACCGGTGTACCTCCATCCGTGTGGACAGCGGGACCTGGATGATCTACGAAAGGCCCAACTTCATGGGCTACCAGTATGTTCTGACACGGGGCAAGTATCCGGATTACCAATGCTGGATGGGTCTGAACGACCGCCTCTGCTCCTGCAAGATGATCCACTTTGTAAGTCACCCACATGGATGCAAAATATTATGTAGTGCGCAAAAGGTGTTCATTCCTCTCCAGGTAAGTGGTTCTGAGTACAAGATCCAACTCTATGACAAGGGAGATTTCACGGGCCAGGTGTACGAGACCACTGAGGATTGTCCATCCGTGGTGGAGCGCTTTCGGACATGCGAGGTCCTCTCCTGTAAGGTGCTTGATGGGATCTGGATCGTCTACGAACACCCAAACTACAGGGGGCGCCAGTACCTACTGGAGAAGGGGGAGTACCATAAGCCTGTGGACTGGGGCACCGTCTGCCCCACGGTTCAGTCCGTCAAACAACTGATGGAGTGACGTTTGGCCTGTAAATCCATCCATCTGCAGTCCTCCTTTACCTCCAAACCGCCCCAACCACAACAGCACCGAAACACCTTTACCGAATCAATAAACGTGTGGTTGCAAATGAAACCGTTGTCTCTTTTTGCAAACGTGTGATCACTAGGCCTTTTGACTTTGGAAACCACATACTTCCTATACAGTATATCTCATAACTGAATAAAAAATATGATTATACCGCTAAAGACATCTGCACTATCAGGTGTTAAAAATTTGAATACTTTTAAAATAAGCAACTATAATTGTATTAATCTTACTCCCTCAATGGATACCTTTTGGTATGCAGGTTGCCGAACCCTGTCCAAAATTCATCACCTCTCGGCGTCAGAAGCTTTTAAGTGTTTTCTGCCCTCTAGTGGGCAGGTGGAGTTTATGAGGTCTTTCCATAGTTATAAAGTAATAAATGTGAAAGATACTGATGCAATTTTGTATTACAAAATCAACTTGCAGTTACTTTAGAACAATATATAGGCCTATATTAATCAGTCCTATGAAGTCAAAAAAAAATTTATTTCACTAATTTAAAATTTGACACTATTAGACATTTGTATCCTAAAAATGGGTTTCAAAGTAATAGTCAACATGGCATATGCCAAGGGTAATGTGACAGCTAAATGAAACATCTGAAGTTATGTATATTATGTATGGGCTAGCTTACCATTTTTATTTTTGGTACATTTTATTCTATAAAAATGCAAGAAATAATAGCCTTGAAAGATGCTTGCTTAAGCGTCTTACCAACCAACATCTGTTAGAACAAAACAACCATGTCAACCATATTCATCAACGGTTGAGTCATAATTGTTTTGGCCATTTTTCTGCAAAAATGTATTATTTATTTTTAAATGATCTTTTTGTTGTGACTAAACTCCATAGAAAGGCAGCAGCAGAAATGAACATCTCTGATGAAGATTCTCATGTCGATAAGTTCAAAAGGTTTGACACTTTTTCTCACATATCTTCACTTCTTGTTTCTTTGTGTGTGTGTGTGTGTGTGTGTGTGTGTGTGTTAGCCACAGTTT